AGATATTAAGTACTTGGCCAGTGAAAAGCATTACTATTGTTAACCTGCTTGCATAATGTGTGAAGCTGCAACAATATCTTCGTATACAGAACAAATATTTTATACAAGAGAACAATAAAGTAACAATGGTAACTAGAATGAAACGATCACTTTTCTGGATCACGTTTTTATGCAAAAAGTTGCATAGAATCAGACTAAATGAATAAATATTGAAAATTGCTAAATTGAAATAAGATAGAATATGAATGGTATGCCTGCATACCACAGTAGCACAAAACAGATGAGAAACAAATCAAGGTTTCCTTTTACAATGTAAAAGACAAAGTATAATTTCTACAGAACACTTTGATAACAATGAAACTGAAATGTCACCATCATTACAAAATAATTTCTATGAAATATGTATGATAAATACAATGAGAATGATGTTTGTTTATCAAATTTTGCCACATCATCCCTAATTTTGAAGTGATAGACTAGTGGGAAGGCAACTGGTCAACACCATTCACCGCCAACTCTTGGTTTACTCTTTTACTAACGGTTGAAAGTGCGAGCATATTTGATGACGGGATTCGAACCCGAAGATGGCGAGTCGAGTGTCCTAACCACCAGACCATGCCAGGCTTCTGATAATAATGTATGTTTTAATAAAAGAACAATTTCTATTCAACTTTCAACTAAATCATCGTGACTAACAGCTGATTAGATCATTAATAACAATGAAATCTTCCCGATGAAGGGGCTGCACTTTACATCTTATGGAATACATACTGCAGAATTTAAAAAGTGAACAAGTTTTAAAAGTAAGCAATTTTAATTAGATGCAGGGGCTACTGAGTAGGCTAAGACACATTTTGAAGTAGCTTTAGCCACATCAAGCCCTCCTTGCCACTGCTCCTGCTTTGGATATCAGGAGAAAGAACAATATAGCTTAGACCTACAATTTGTGATAAGAATCACGTACACTGCAAGCGTTTTTTTTCTACTTCTTCACATTATTCTTAATATATCTATTTCAGATCCAAAATCAAAGGCGTGTTTTTGGATGTTTATTGTTATACACAAAGCTACAGAATAGGCTGTGTTGTACCCACCACGGGAATCGAAACCCCGTTTTTAGCGTTATAAGCCTTTAGCGGCGTGTAAAAATAGCATTTCAGATCTATCTTTTGTCTCCTAGATTTCAAAGTTTGAGCCACAACTTTTAAAGTATTATATTGTATTTATAACTAGCGTTTCAGATAGTTTTTTTTATATATCATCGTCTAGCCCAGTTGAGCGAAAGGCCTCTTGAGTTGTAACTTGTGGGAGACAAGAGATAGCTCTAAAATACTGCTTTGACACACTTTTGATTTTTAATCCAAAATGTACAAATTAAGAAGAATGTGTAAAAAACAAAAAACAAAATAAAAAAACATCTTCAGTTTACGTGATTTTTCGCTAGCTTTTGGCGTTTAAATCGAAACTTGAAAAGAATCTTATCTTATATCAATTAGTTTTGTGCGAGCTCTGAAGAAGCCATAAATGTGAAACATTGGACAAAATAAATTCTGATTTACTTGGACTTCTTTTGCAATAGTTGACTTCAACACACAGTTGTAGGAACGGTTACGGTGATTTACTGGATCAATGAATAGCCTATACATCATTACAACTTTGACAATCATCCTATCTCCACTCCTGTTCAACTAAAAAAAACCCAAACTAACAAACATGAAATTTCTGCTCACGCCCACTCGACACATTTTAAGCCACGCAAATCGCCATATTAAAGGTAAGCCATAAAAGAGCAGTTTCAAAGTTAGCGCTGCTTATGTTTCTCGTGAGACATAGCAACACTAATTAACTTTACTGATGAACAAGTAAAATAAAGAGAAGTAGAAAAGAAATACTATAAACAGAGTAACAACCATTTAGCAAAGACTAGTTATTTACTCATATGTAGCTGGGTTTCTAATCAGTATTCACAATTAAGAACACTATTATGTGTTAGTTATATACTCGTATATAGCTATGTTCTTAACTCTTCTTCTTTTAATAGCGTTCACAGTTTAAACTTTTCAATAAAACGGGCAATTTCAACATTGAAATTATAAATTTTCCATTTCGAAATACAAATAATGTTTACTACTTACAGCTTATTAGATACAATAGAATGTGTTATCGTCATTACAAGATTTTATGGTTAGGACTGGTAAACTTACACAAGCAAGGTTTCTCATTACGCATTTTAAAATACAAAATTCGGTTCTCTTGTGTAGAAAATTTTAAAATATTCTCGATTAGAGATTTACAAGTTTTAAAGAGTATCACTACATTTCATAAACTTCACATCTACACCATATCTTTGGAAATTGTTTAGTGTTTGGCCACCATAAAATTCTTATTCTATATTGTTAATATTAGCTACATAACAGTACTATATATATATAGTATGCCATTACGTCATTAGCTTCAATTTTTTTTGGAATGATTCTTTCTTTACCGTATTAACAAGTGTTGTAACTTTTATTTCTAACTCTGATAATTTTTATTGAACATTCTAGAGCTTGTCGTGTTTCCTTTTCGGCTTTTACAGAAGACTTAACGTTATTTATTACTTCCTTTAGCCTACAATATTTGTTCGTCAGGGATTAGTTAGATTAAGCGTGATAGTTTTAGACACACCTCTTACTAAGTTTAGCGTGTTATTTTATTTGTATTACATTTAACATTGTCATATTTTCATGGACAGTTCAGATATTCTTTTGTTATTTTGTATTTCCACAAAAATTAGTTTTTGGTTGTACTATAGGAAAATTACTGTGACTAACTCGACAGTTGAATATTCCAAAGTCACATACCACTTTCCTCCGACATTAGACAGTAAGAGTGGCTTAATGAGTTTTCATTGGTTAACAGATGTGTTAGATGAAATCGAAGTAAAAACAAGCATGTTATGCTACATGATGTTTTTCAAGAAATTTACTTCTTCAACAGTAACACATGCCAACGGAGGACAAAATGCAACAAGGGGAGTTGATGAATTCTAACAAATAATGTTGCCTTAATAATTGCCTGGGGATGATGTTTACTTACTTGTATCTTCTCAAACATTTAATGTGAAATGGTACTATTTGCATCATGTTCATGTGTCTTCTTTAAGTATCAAAACCAAAAGGTACTACAAACAGTTTGGGGATAATTTTTTTTCTGTCACCTTATACAGTTTGTGGACAAGAATGTTGTTTTTTCTATATATATATTTCTAAAGTTCTAGCTGAAAATTTGCACAACAAAATGGATAAATGCTCTGTGTGACTTCTCTTACCTTCCTTTTGGTTACATTTATGTATCTTTTTTTCAAGTCATCTTCACTATTTAACTTACAACGACAACATAGAATTATTCAATACTGACCACTAGAAGAAATTAAACTTGTCTAACATTTTCAAAAAAAATTTAGCATAATCAAGTCAAAATTTATTCTTAATCATCTAATTACAACAATTTAAAACTGTTATCGCAACATTTATTTGATCTGAATACTACATGAATGTTATGTGCTAAAATGTTTGTATAAAAATATTCTGTAAACATAACATAATTTTCTTCTAGCCTGGTAAAAAAACAAATTCTTACTCACTCCGGTTGGGCATTAGTATAAGATGTAAATTCCAAGCACAGCTTATAATGAACAAGCATTACCATTTAACAGACAGTAAGTAGGTTAAAGTCGTGTTGTTTTCTAACAGTTGGCTAATTTTATACTTTATCTAAAAGTTAAGAGCTTAGCTTAAGTAATTACAGCCTATGAATATCATATCTAAAAAATAATTTCTAGCTTAAGAACAAAAACATTGAACATGCAAATAATCTTAGCATTAAAAAAATAGAAATTGAATTACTCAAAATACACTGGGCAGATACCTGCTGAATATGTCTCATTTTGTTTGTAATTATGAATATTAGTTGATATACTCAGCAGCTAAACCATAGTTTATAAACCTAAATAATTTCCTTCCAAAAATATGCTAAAACTGAAAAAATGTGATGGATAGTATAATGTATGTATTAATGTACTGAGTTTTGAAATACACTGACTGATAGGTGATTCAAAATATTTTTAGATTAGAGAGAAAAATAGACACAATTAAATAAGATTCACCTATCAAATCACTTTCTTTCATTTAACTTCAATAGTATAACATCTATATAAACAAAATAATATCAAGACGATATATACATACTACTACTGAACAAGGATGTTGAAGTCAATCTTCAAATTTCCTTTTGTACTTCAAGTAAAGCTTGAATGCAAATATAAAAGTTGGTATTGTAAAAGACTTTGATAAAAATGTTGAAACACCTTGATTAGGAATATTTAACAACTTGTATTTTACTCTGTTTGTATCTGTAAAGTATTTGTGGATTTTATTAAATGCAAAACAGGATGAAGTTTGACTCTGTGATAAAATTAAAAGTTTGGTTTGCATTTTTTCTGATTTTTGTAATTTTTTATTTGAATAAAAAGTAGAAACTTAAAATCCAAAATAATAGTACTTCAAGTCTTGAGTATTGTACCTAAAATGTTTTCCATTTGTTAAAGTTTAATTGTGGAATTTTTACCTTGGAACATCATTTTTAATAGAAATCGTAAAATGCTTTATTCATGATTTTTTTAAAAGGTCGTTACCTTTCCTAGCTTGTACTTTAGAAGTCATGAAAATAGATCTAAAATTCAATAAGTATTTTGGGCTTATTCTTTGCTTGTAAACTCTTTGTCAGATGCAATGATCATTTTCAAATTAAGCTTGGCAAGAAACCACTTTTGAATCCAGAATTTGAGGAAATTCATTGTGTCAGCATTTTATTCAACTAAGCAGAGCTGATACTGAAGAAAACTGTTTCATATCTTAAACCTTGGTGTTTCAAACTTAACAAGAAGTTTGCTTTTTGTTATTGTATTTAAAGTTTTTTCTTGGATGTAAAACATTGAAGTTTGTCATATTGAACACATTCAGTCACCAAGTTTCCATATTAGATGTTATTATTGTAGTTTAAAATGCAAAACCCGGAAAAATATTGTCATCATTCTTGGAACCTCTACCTAAAACTAAAAAAAAAAAAAAAAGTCTTGCAAAATGAATTCATACTATAAAAAAAAACTTTGATTTTGGGGCAGGAAATCAACAGTTGGCTTTAATATTGTTTATCTGGTTTCACAGTGTCTCACAAAATGCACTAACCAGATAGAAGTATTAAAATTATTGTAAGAGTTACAGTATTACCTTTTAATTGATACAGTTCTGTTAGACCCAGTTCTACTTTCTGTTAATCAAAAGATGTTTTGGTCTATCTTTCACAGAGACCAAATTTCTGGCCTTTTATAAACTCAATTAACATATTAAAGACAGAATACCAACTTCAGGAAGTCACGGTTGAGCTTCACAATCCTGGTGATTGTATGGGAATATCACTGGTATACCAGTAAACAGTTTAACCTGTGAATTCTATGTAAATCATTAGGCTAATGTTGGTTCTCAATGTCTGGAAGGTTACAGTAAACAGTTTAACTTGCACTTTTAATTTGAATTAAGACTGTTTCACAATGGGTCATTGAGGTTAGAAATGTCATGAGCATGGATTAATAATCTAAGATTTAACTAGCCTTATATCAAACATCTAAAAAAACTTTTCAAAGTGCTCTAATGCTACGCTCATGAATATTAATGGCCTCCAAGGTTTCCATGATGCTGTACAATGAGTGGCAAAATTATGAGCATTAAAATCTTGCAGCATTGTAAAAGAACTTATATCTTAAGAATAATTACCACCTGCCACAAGAAATCAAACTTTTTACCTTAAAGAACTGATATCATTTGCCATAAGTTAATATAATTTTTGCATTGAACAGTTGGTACCATCTGCCAGAAGATATTAGAACTTTTGCCTTAAAGAACTGATACCACATGTCACAAGTTAATAGAATTTTTACATTAATCAACTGATACAATCTTCCAGAAGATATCAAAGTAAAAGTTATATCTTTTGGAAGGTGTTATCAGAACATTTACCATCTATCACAAAATAACAGAACTTTCAATGTCTTAGTCCCGATCTATGTAAGTAGCTTGCTTTAATCAGAAATTACTGTTCATTAGAAAAAAATGATACCATGGAAGAGAGCCTATTAAAGATTTCATTGAAGAAGTAAAATCAAATTTCTGTCGTCAGGAGTAAAGATCATTATAATCAGCACATTCATATATGTAACAAACAGAATTAAGTTTCTCCATAGTGTATAAAACTAAGAAGTAGAAAAGAAACTAACAAGAATTTAATTGATGTTGCTTTTTAAACTTTTATGGTATGAGCTAAAATAAACTACAGTAATAAAGTGGAAAATGTACAAAGACTGCATTCAAATAAGAGTGAATACTTCTGTTCCAAATTGGGATCTCTAACTTTAGTACAAACTGATAGAGACTGTTATTGTACAGTCACTAACTGATAAGAACATTCGTGATTTGTAAGAAACAATTCAAATTAAAAGAGGAAAATACTTTGTCTAAAATTAGTGTGCACAACAAATGTTTACTGAAACATACAACTGGTTTGTTAAAGCAAGAAGTGATACACAACTCGTAAAGCAGATGACAAAACATCTATGATGTTAAATCTTAACACTAGAAAATTAATACAAAATGTTTAAAGCTTAGAAAATTATCATGAATATCTTTCTTAATATTTTATTACCAATTAAAACACTGATATGTTCAAATTCAATTATATGTTCAGAATTACAAAGAAAGTTAAGTTTTATAAAAAATCTCAAGAACAACCCTGCACAGGAGATGATAAATTAATCAAGACATCTATGTTATAAAAAAGAAAATTTGAGAATTCCTTTGAAAGCTTTTGGTTTGTACTATTAGTTCAAGTGAACTGTTGAAGAGCTGTTTTGACCCTGAAAAACGAAAAAGAGACAACAATAAAGAGGAACTAATATTAATTAGAAGTTAAGTATCAGATTGATGTTTTTATTCAACATTACATTACAAAGAGATTGATGATTATTTTAGTCAAATATTTATTTACTGGACCTATAAGTATTTCAAGTAGAAAGAATATAAGAGAAAATATATTTAATAAATATTTCTTTACTGGACCTATACAGGTTTCCAGTAGGAAGAATATACCAGAAAATAGATTTTAATAAATATTTCTTTACTGGCCCTATACAGGTTTCCAGTAGGAAGAATATACCAGAAAATATATTATAATAAATATTTCTTTACTGGTCCTATACAGGTTTCCAGTAGGAACAATATGGCAGAAAACAGATTTGAATAAACATTTCATAATCGGCTTAGTACAGGTTTCAAGTAAGAATATGACAGATAAATATTTATTCCCAAATCTTTCTTTGCTTGCCCTGTATGGATTTTAAGTAAAAACAACATAACAGGCAATAACTGTTAACGAATCTTTCTTTACTGGCTCAATACAAGTTTTAAATAAGAAGAATATAACAGATAATAATTATTAACAAATCCTTTTTGGACCTATACAAGCTACAGTTATAAGAATGAAAGAGACAGTAATTTTTAACAAATCTTTTTTTACTAGCTCTAAATTGGATTCAAGTAAAGAGAAAATAACAGACACTTTTTCAGAAATCCTTCTTTACTGGCTGAATACAGGTTTTGAGTGAAAAGAATGTATGATGATAGTTTTTAGGGCAAATAAACAAAACTGGCTAAGATTTGTTGTTAGTTATTAAGCACAAAACTACACAAAGAGTTATCTGTGCTCTGCCCCCTACGAGTATCAAAACCAGATTTCTAGCAGTATAAGTCTGCATACATGCTGCTGTGCTACTGGGGGGGGGGGGGCAAATTGACTAAGTGTTATCACTCTCACCGTGATGTAATGTCATACAACTCACAAATCTATAAACAACAATTTGTAAAATAATGTCTTACATATAATAAATAATAAGTATAAAACTGTTGATAATAACATCATATTTAAATAAAAAATTACAATTAAATAATTTTGTAGCAAGGTAATTAACCCTATTTTATACACAAGTTCTGATTATTTTGTTTTCACTTACAAGCCTGTTTAAGGAAATTAAAAGTATATAAATACACTATGTTTCACCAGGTTCACCTGATATCTTCAGGTGACTGAAATAGAATGGTTTGAAAGAGAACAATCATGAGTTTAAATTTAAACTGACAAAAGCATGCGAGTAATTCAAGTGACACTCCATTAAACAATTACATAAAAGAATAGCAATATGTTAACAAAATTAAAAAAAATTCACAAAACAAATCCTAATCTTACACTATTGTATGTTTTACTAATTGCATTTATTGGTGGTGGTGTAAAATTTTGGCTGATTCTGTTAAACGATTGTTACCACAGGCTTTAGAATGTTCAAAAACTAGTCTCAGTTTGTGTTCCTTAACCCTATCATGATGGGTCACATATCAAAGGTCACGTCATCACGTTTGTGGACTTGCATTCAAAATTTTATTGAACTACTATTTTATTTTATTTCAATAAGTTTGGTATCAAATTGTAGATTATAATTAAAATTTTAGTGATATATATTACTCAATTTCTTTATTTAAAAGCAAATATTAAAAAAACACAGCTAAACATTGATTTTTGTGTGTCATGTGGTATGTTGAATGCAGCATTGGTTCAAATTGGATGTTTGTGTTGTCAAATTACAAAGTCTATAGTTTCGTACGAATTAGGAACTCAAACTACTAATATTGACAAGCTAGAATATAAAATAAGAGCCTCTTATCTTTTCTGTTTGCTAAGATATTGTTCAGGTACATTTTTGGAAATGCTCCTTTATATACACTTACT